CGGACAGCGAGTCTCCTGCAGGAGTTCAGCTGGGAGGTGTTTGATCATTCACCCTACAGCCCGGACCTCGCTCCCAGTCATTTCCATCTTTTCCTACACCTCAAGAAATTCCTGTCCGGTCAGCGTCAGCGTTTTGAGAATGACAGAGAGGCGGAGATGGTTGTCACACAGTGGTTCCAATCCCAGGCGGCAGACTTCTACGACACAGGTATTCCAAAGTTGGTCCCACGGTATGACAAATGTCTCAATTCCGGTGGCGAATATGTTGAAAAATAGCTGGACACTTGCTGTATCTGTTGCAATAAATATTTCCATGAAATTGTGTTTTGTTTCTGTAAACGGCCCCAGGGAAACTTACTTTGTGGACGAGCCTCGTACATACAGGATAGCAATATATGCGCTCTTTTCTTATCGCATAAAAAATGTAGTTTTTACAACCGGCCTTCCCGCAGACAAAAGAAAGTGGTTCGATAACAGGTGAGCTTGTTGTTGACAGTGGGTCTTATTACTAGAATACCTCTAGATAAGACAAAACGCGACGACGTGTGTTCTAATTTCTACGATGACAGACCCTGCATAATTAATTTTTAGTGTGGATCCTTTGACATTTGGTAATCCAAATGTCGCAAGATCTCTGTGTACCGGACAAGATAATACGGGTCATACCGGGCGTGTGAGTGTACATACCGGAGCCTCGAGCAGAATTCGCGACACGCTCGCAATCAAAGACCATGCGATGGACGCAAAAAACTGCGACCTTCAGCTACGTCACTGGAAGAGGGGAGGGTAAGACTGCAAAAAGTGTGATCATGTACAGTGCAACTTAAAACATTTTTACCCCTTTAGATTTCGACACAGTCGGTGCCACTGACTGTGTTTGTGAACGAACGGAACAAAAATATTGACACGCCTCAATTTGCAAGCGCTACTTCTTATACAGCCTGAAGATCAATATTTTCACATCCGATAGTATACAAGGAAGGACTAGGTTGTATCTGCGATATGTACTGTCCACAGATCACGAGAAAAACCCCGCTGGGGGAAGTCGTTTCTGGTGCGGTGCGGGGGGAATGTTACTTCGCTCTCTCAAGGTACAATTTGGCTGCACGCGACAGAGACAAGCGACCGAGACAGGCGACAGAGACGGGAGACGGACACATCGCAGCTTGTCGCCACACACTTTTGAGGTGACGACCGAGACATGCGGCAAAGTGTTTGTTTTCTTTGTTTTGTTGAGACATACGTGCACATATTCTGTGAAAAATGAGTACAAAAATGCTTCTAAAAAGGTTACTCGAAGAAGAAGAAGAAGATGATGTGTTGCTGTGTTATTTGTTGCGAAAGAAACAAAGAAAACCTATGAGTTCAATATTCAAAACCAGACGCGAAGAAGGATCTTTCTGTCGGTGGTCAGTGGTCGGTTTTCTGCTACTAATTCTACCAATTGCTCATCTTGGTCACCAGTAAATTTAATTTCTGCCATTATTTTACTCAACAACACACGTGCTGCCTGAGCCCGTCGCGAGACACTACTGGTCCAAGAGCGGTCTCCTGTGCTTTGTCTCTGTCGTCTGTCTTTGTCTCGCGCTCGTAATTGTACTTCATACGATTGTACAGAGAGCAGAGAGGAAGCGACCAGTCTCGGTCTCGCAACTCTGTCGCCTGCCTCGGTCGCTTGTCTCTGTCGCGTGCAGCCAAATTGTACCTTCAGACAAACAGGACATGGTACTGTCCACAGACCAGGAGAAAAGCCCTACGGGAGGAAGTCGTTTCTGGGGGCGGTGCTGGGGGAAAGTTTACTATCAGCTGGACTAGAGGGCTGCTATTGGTGGGAAGTGTGATACGTCAGAGTTTTACGCTACTACTCACACTGAAAACATCAAGCAGTTAAGAGTAGCGTGTAGTGAGTGCACCTCTAATGTGTTCTGCGGGTGTTGCGATAATATTCTAGATTAAATCACTGTGCCACTGTGAGGTAATCTTAAAGCTGTACCCATTAGAACACATGAAAACCTGTCGTCTGTTGTTCGTTCAGTGGTTGTGGAACGAATGCTTTTAGGAAGGGGCGTCACTCACCGCGAAATCTTGCGCATGCGCGTTTAACGAATTCCTAGCAGGGATTTTCTCCTGATCTGTGGACTGTACTCTTGCTTCGCAATTTTCCCTTCCTCTCGCACGTACACGTAGTCGAATCTCGGCACCTTCAAATGCATTGAACGACAAATTTTAACTATTTTTCCGAATTATATTTTACCCCTTTCACATACTCTCAGTCACTGATGCCGAATCTAGGAATAAATATTCTGTAGCAAGCAAGGTTTTCGAGAAATAAACAGATTTTCTCATGTTTAGGAATTTAGTCAAATTTATTTACTAACATTACACAGGTAACATAGAAAATGTGAGGTTGTCGTAGACTTCCATAAGGTCTGTTGAAATCCAAGAAATCCAGATTAGAGCGAAGGAAGTGTATTTTGAGCTACATATTGCACCCCCATTATTCTATAGGCTTCAAGCAATTTTCTGAGCTAGCTGTCTGTAGCTGCCCATTTTGGGGTTATCCAAACAGTTGCCAAAAACCAATCTGAATGTTTCTCAACTGTCTTCTTAGTTACTTTTAGGGCTTCATCATATTTCCTGTCATTCATAGGATGCTTTATCTGAGAACAGGCGAAGATACCTTCTTGTATTTTTAAAACATAACAGCCTTCAGACTTGACTGTAAAGAATAAATAAACAGTCGCTAATCTTCTGGATCATGTACATGCCCTACTGCCCTCATCATCAATGCTGATGAAGGACGAAGCTCTTTTTCTAGAAGATTCCATCCTTGTGTTCTTAAGGTGACAAGCGTCTATTGCACTGAGGATGCGCTAATATGCACAGGGTCGCCAACAAAGCAAAACAAAACTTCCCGTTACAAAGAAAAATACCTCAATAACTAACAAAGTTACAGCCTATTTCACACGGGGACACGCAGTATTTGTTTAATACTGATAATAAACTATAAAAGAAGGATAAGAAGCTGGGCTTACCTTAGACAGAGTCTTGGCCGGTTTCATGTGTATTCCGCCCACCTCAACAATGCCAGGGACCAACGGACGGGGTCTGTTCACACTGAAGTGGTTGTTGACAAAGATGAGACTCGTGTTTCTGGCGAGGGTGGACAGGGCTGGGAGAGATTCACCGAAGTGTTTCTTAGCGATTTTATGAGCCCGTGGGTCCATTAGAAATGAATAATGAAGTTTATGAAACAAATACCAGAACGTGTTTGAGAATCTTTCAGTGAAGTCCATTCTATCCGAAGACGCCACGAACTGTGTCGGAATATACGCGGGGTTGTCCGGGTTTCCGACCCTGTCTGGGGTCCACGGCATAAAAACACAGGAACTGAAGCCGATTACAGGAATCTGAAATCTGTGTGCAAACGCTAAGAAACAATCGGTATTAAACGTTTCAGTTATGAGCAAGTCGAATTTCTCGTCTGATTTTATGAGTTTTTGAACATCCGGATGTTCAAATGCATTCTCACACACCTCTGCAGCCCATGCACTCAGCACAAAGGCGCTCACAATCTGGTCCATTTTGGCAATGTCTGCGTAAGATAAAATGTTCACTGTTTGGTTAACTTTTGTTATGGCTTTTAGGTCAATGTCTTTGTAATTGGGTGTTGGGCGTTTTCTTGGGAAGTGGCTGATTACAAGGAGCTGATGTCCTTTGGCTGCGAGTTGCTCCAGGTACGGTTCGAATACGTCGAAGTGACTTCTTCCCAAATGGCTGAAGACCACCAGTATCTTGGAGTTTTCAGCTGTATGCAGAAGGCCGAGTCCAATTAAGACGAGCGTTAAACATTTCCTGACAGCGAAATTCATTTCTGAAGACAACCCTTCTGACAGCGAAATTCATTTCTGAAGACAGCCCTTCACCCAGAATTTGCACCGTTCGTGTTAGAAGCTCAGATGTTTTCGTCCGATTGCACAAAAAGGATGGGACGTGTTTTTCGCAGTTGTTTACAGAATATGAAACGAGAATTTCAAGGGCAAGTAAGAGGGCTTTACTTATTTCACTTATTCACTCGATTTCATAAACAAATATTCACTTTGTACGGAGTTAACGGTAAATAGTGATGAGTTGTCGATAATCGCAGATCAGCTGTTGCTCCTTTGTCACTTCTTCAGAGTTTAATTCGCTGAATTTTTCACTGATTGCAGTTCCTTTGTCAGTCGACCGAGGTTTTTAATGAAGTTCGCGGTGCAGCGATTATAATTAGACAACACCTAGCATGTAGGTGTGTTATGTCTGTTCCGCACTGATGGATCAAATCACTATATCGATATCTGCAGCATCAGCTCCCTTCAGACACGCTGCGCACTCTTCAGACGCTGAATTGACACTGTTGCTTTCGTCAGTCATCATCGGTGCCAGTTGGCATCCGTTCTCGCCTTGCTTCGTCACGCCTGCCGGGTGAACTAGGAAGCTGCATGAGATGTTGTTGTAGGGAACGTTACGTAAACAAGAGGCCGTCGAACTTCACAGCACAGTGTTGTTTTTCTCTCTCTTGGTTCGTATTCGGCAAGCCTCCGTTGTACTTTCTCTAGGTGAAATTTGTTTTGGTGTTCCTCAGTCATGTCTGGAGAAAACTACGTAATGACGAACTTAAAAATTTATACTCCTCCCCCAGTATTGTCAGGGTGATTAAGTCAAGAAGAATGAGATGGACGAGGCATGTAGCGCGCATGGATGGGACAAGAGGTATGCCCCGGGTACTGGTTGGGAAACCTGAAGGCAAGAGACCGCTGGGGAGACCTAGACGTAGATGGGAGGATAATCTCAGGCGGTATCTATGGGAGATAGGAGTCGAAGGAGACTGGATTTTGTTGGCCCAGGACAAGGTCCGGTGGAGGGCTTTGGTTAATTCGGTGATGAACCTACGGGTTCGGTAAGCCATCTAGTTGGTTAGTTCCTCAATCATACAAGGAAATGCCACTAAGAAGTTGTCCCAAGCAACAAGATCTAATGCTTGTAATTTGATTTACAACTCACGAATCAATTCCCGAGCCTACGCGGTTCAATGATTGTTTCCAATCCGTCTCTTCTGATCTTTCGTAAATACTTTTTTGCTGTGTATGTAGACTTCATGTTTTGATTTTCTTCCAATGCTTCTAGTACCATTAGGCCACATAGTCTACTTTTTGG